AGGATGCTGCTCTCCAAGCTGCCAGGCTGCATTCCTGTGAATTGGATCAGTATTGGCCAATATGCCTGGTATAATCAGCTATCAATATTGGCCAAGAAAATCTTTATTGGTGCACCCCTAATACACACTGTGGGGAGGGTGAAGAAGCTAGGGTAAGGAATGATAAAGGCTTAATTGGAGTTATAGAAAGTACTAAATATGACCACAAGAAGCATTACTTTAATATGGAAGGGGAGAGGAAGAAGGACTTTGAAGAGAGAGGTAGGTTGACTGCCAGGTGAGAAAGCGTTAGCTTAAGTTTTCAGTGGGCTGTCATGTTGAGATGGGAAAATACGCAGGAGGAAGAGGAGATGAACTGTAAGGTGACAGGAAGTTTATATGATATTTTCAGTGCATTTAATTTGACTTCATGATATCCCAGAACTCAGAAGGACAGTTAAATGTGAAACTGCTCAGTAGGGGAGAGGTTGTAGAGAGGTAGATATATAAGCTATTGCTTTAGAGCTGAGGTGTCAAGCTCATCTGGCCCTGTAGGTCAGATGAATGGTGTGGGGCCAGCCCCATTGGTTGGACTAGGCTTCCCCCTCCCTGGTCCTGCATGCAAGATCCGGCACTGGCCCCAGACTGAGCAGTATGCGGTGCCCTCTTCAAACCAACCAGAGCAGGTGCTGAATCCTGCCTGCCAGGGATGAGACCTGAATGGTCCCCGCAAGGGGCCAGCACTGGGAGGCGGATGATCTGTCTCCATGGGCTGTATTTTTGACATCTCTGGTTTCAAGACAGTTGATGAATTCAGGTGTTGTAAAGAAATCATAAGGAACCATTGCAGATCAAAAACAGAATATAGAGGCAGACTCAAAAAAAAAGAAAAAGAAAAGAAAAGAGAATTGAAATAGTGCTTGACAAAATAGCAAGAGAGCTTAAAACAATAAGGCCAAGGTGACCTGGGGCAAGAACAAAGTGAGGTGAACAGTCCGAATGGGAGAAGGGTGGGTGTCAGGAATGCAGAGCAAGCTTTAGTAAAATAAAATATGGAGGAGCCTTGCACGTAAAAACAGAGGTTATCATTGTTTTTTGTGCACAGCATAAGTACCAACGTTTGAAAAAGTGCCCAGGGATTGCATTTTTGTTGCCCAGTTTGAGACTTTTTTTTTTTTTTAAAGGAGTTTTTGAAGGTTAGGAGCTTTAATAGAAAAATAGAAGTGACCAGTGTAAAATCAGGCAGAACACTGAGCATCGATTTCCTAGGCCCCTTGAATAGAATTGTTAAATTACTGTTTTTTACCTTGCCATTTGATTAGGACAGTGACTTGGTGTGATAGGCGGATAGGGTAAAGGCGGATAGGGTAAACAAAGTTGTCTATGTTCCTATTGCTTTTTTCAGAGGGGAAATGCACAACAATTAGACTGGTTCACTAATTCAGCATTGAACCAGAACCTCAGTTGGTTCAAACATGTTATGCCATATTTCAGGGGTTTTCAACCTTTTTTAACAAGCGTACCCCTTCTGGTGGTGGCAGCCAGATGCGGGGGGGTCACATGCAGTGGCTGCTGCCAGCACCCTGCACCACCCTGCGCCACCGCCCTTCACTGCTGTGCGCCACTTTCCAATGGCCAGTTGCACGTGTGGCTCTGTAAGCTGCCGATGGGTCTCATGCCTGGCCAATCGCATGCCACCTGTTAGCAGCCCACAGAGCTTCACATGCAACTGGCCATGGGAAAGCAGCATGTAGCAGTGGTGTGGGGTGGTGGGTGGCAGCAGTGGCCACTGTGTGCGAGCTCCCCCCACCATGTCTGGCTAGCCGGGTGGCACCTGTGCAGCCTGCAGAGGGGTGCTGCTGCCTTGTCCCCACCAACCCTGGCCCAGCTCCTGGGAGGCGGCGCGGGCTGGTGGGTGGTGGTGGCAGCTGCCGCATGTAAACCCCTCCACCCCACATCCATCCATGGTGGGGCACTACTGCCCTTATGCCCCCCACCCTGCTTCTGGGAGTAGGCACAGAAACGCACACTCTCTCCCCCACCTCCCCACCATTCAGACTCTTTGCGCCTTGTGGCTCTGCAGGCAAGGGGTGGCTGGTGGTGCCTTCTCACTGTTGGCTATTGGCTGAGGGCAGCGGTCCCGCAGCCCGTCAGGAGATGGAGCTGGGGTAGGGGGTGGGGAGGTGTTGCAGTGTGCTGCATGGGGCCGGTGCTGCCCAGCGCACCCCTCCCTCTCCTCTGGGTAAGAGGTGACATGTAGGAACGTGTCGGGGGAGACTCCGCTGCTGTGCCCCAGAGCTGTTCCCGCCTACTTGCGTGTACCCCTATGACCTTTCCAAGTACCCCTAGGGGTACACATACCCTTGGTTGACACCCCCTGCCATGGTAAAAATGGTAAAAGAAGTAAAATGGGGTATTACTGATTTCCATTTTTTGAGGATATGGTATATTTTGTATTTGTAAGGGCTGCAGGTAAAAAAGCATACAAAAATTAAAGGTAATTTATGAGAAGAAAAGGAAAAAGAAAAGATGTATACACCTTACACTAGTAGAGGGAATGATCTCTGATATGAACAAATACCTGAACAAATTAAGGGTTGACCACAAACGTATTGTAATAAAGGTGTCTAACAATGGCAAATTTTAGATTAGAAATGAGCGGGGCAATTAGAGAGTGGAACTGAAGTGGAAGAGGTCATTGAGGGATGCCTTCAGTGAAAAATGTGGAAAGAGATTAGATAACGTAGTAGGTGAATGATAGTTTAACCTGCACTAAGTGCAGGGGCTTTTTTTAATGACCTGTGTGGCCCTCTCATCTTCTATGATGATGGGAGAAAATATACCTTACCCTTTGCATGTGCTAAATTTGAAGGGATTCAGGTTAGCAGTGATTGATTGACTTCATATAATTTACTGACACTCTAGTGTATCCTACTCTTTCTAACTTCTATGGAATTTTGGCTCAAGAAAAGAGGAAATTCCAAAGTTCTGGAAAATATTCTAATCTACTTTATTCATTTGGCAAGTAAGGAAGTTGTCGTGGGTATGCATGATTGTATTGGAAGTACCCATATGATACCTCTCTGCTAACTATACCTGTATTTGATTTTCACCAAGTGGTTTCAGAACAAGCAGTATTTCATTCTTTTGCCTGACACCACCAATAAAAATGGTTTATTTTTCTTTGCTTACACTGGCATAAGGCTTGTCTTTGCAGTTGATGAAGAATTAATGCTGTGTAAGGCCAGTTGTTGTCCTGCGCATCTTTGTATTTGGAATTATTTGTTATGGAACCCAGATGACACAAGGAAATAGTTTCATGTTAATACTGTCACCTGGCTGCCACAAAGTAATTCCAGACTCATTCTGACTGCTTTTAGAGGCTGTTTTCACCTGAATTGCCATGGCAGAATTTTAATCTTAAGGGAATACAGTGACATCATTCATTCACTGAGACAATTGGAAACCTTTCATATTGATAGCTGCATGCTGTTACAGCATGGTGCAACTTTTTTTGCTGATTCTTGGTTAGAATAAATTTTAAAATGGGAGCGTGGAAGAGAAAAATTCCCTGTTTATTTTGTTTCCCTCCAGAATTAGATGTATAAAATATTATAACATAGCTAAATTAAAAAAAAAGTTTGCTTCAAGTTAACTGAAGATAGACTTTAAATATTTCCATGTAATCAACATGGCTGTTAATTCCTGTGCGTTGTCAGTGCTGTGTACTGAGTTAAATTTTTGTTGCATGTATGCATCACCATGGCATTTGGTAAGTTACCCTGAAATGGTATTTTGAAATGCATGGATCATTCTATGGAAGCCAAGATTTTCGCAGTCTGACTGTCCCAATTAGATTTTAGTAAGAAGCATTTTAGAAATGCAGTTTTATTAAATAATTAGAAAAATATTCTTGTTATAAGGTGAAATAAAACTTGCCTTAATACTCTCTTCCAACCTGCTGCTATTTTAAATCTGTCCCACGAGCAGAAACTCGTGTGGGTGGGCTGCATTGTTTCCTAGTAAAGATTAGTTCAGTAATGAATAACTTGCTTTTTACTTATTGAGGAATGGTCCTATCCATTCATTTGACTTGTGCCTTGGTGGCCACTCTTTGTGTATGGACTTCTTTACAAAATGATACTTACTAGCACTTTTTAAAGAGGTGTATCTTTTTTTAGGCTTTTCTGCTTGGATTATTTTACTTGGCTATAATATCTATTGCTTTTTTTCTCAGGTTTCTGTGTTGGATGCCAAAAGAAGTATGAATATTGGAATATTTCTCAAACAATTTAAAAAGTAAGATTTTATTTTTTATACAGCTTCAAATGTAATAGTAGTAATAATCTAAAATAAATGGAATAGGACATAAAAGACATTATGCAAAGGTGTAATGTGTAATGCACTGCTGCTTTAACCTAGTTTTAAGACTCTCTACAAATTTTCTTAATTGGGATTCATAGCTTTTTTTTTTTCATAACATGTTTATGTGAATGACAGTATTGCTTAAATCTTCCATTTTCAGTTTTCTGTGCTAATTAGTTCACAGTTTGATTGTTGCCATTGCCAGTTGAGGTTTCATAGGCAGTAATAGAATGCCTTTGAATCTTGTAAGATACTGAGTTGTTTTCCTTGGCTGCTTTTCTGTAGGAAGAGTGAAAGGATGGGGGAGGGATGAAAGTTTTTCCTTTTTTTAAAGGTAGGCTAAAGCAGTTTAGCTGCCATGCATTTGATTTACTTTTTCGCAGAGGCCTCACTGATTGGTGGATGTTGTGAACACTGATTCAGCTACTGACAATTTTTGTAAAATTTGCTTTTTTTTTTTTTTTTTTTTTTTTTTTTTTTTTTTTTTTTTTTTTTTTTTTCCATTTCTACACCTACAAGAGTTCCAGGTATTACAGTTTAATCTGACCACTTGTTTTTTCAAGGTCTGCTCGGTCCATAAGTGAAGATATTTATCATGGAAGAAGTGACCCCTATGGATCTGAGACACTGCGTGAATTACTTAAGTTATTGCCTGAAGCAGAAGAGGTAAGTGAAGTGTTTTAAAGTGGTGCCTCTTTGTGTGGCAGAGTTCCTATGAACTTGGGATTGTAGAGAATAGTTGCTATCTTTTTGGAAAAGTCATAAAAACCTGAGAGATGCGGAGGTAAAACCTACTGAGTGCAAAAATTTGCCCTTGGGAGTGGCACACAGTGACCTGTGGTATTGGAAATACAGTCTAATCATTCCTTTACAGAAGGTAGTTTAACTTTATTTGAAGGCATTTCATATTAAAGAACCAACAAGGAAGTTTAGCTTCCTTGATATGTTTAATTAATTTATGGCCCCTATTTCCCAAGCAGTTACATGGTTGGAACCACAGCAGTTACAATCTAGTGTTGGTATTGGGTTACTGCGTCACTATGCTACCCCATTGGCCCACAATCCAAGAAATCTGTGAGTTTGTTTGATAAATTTAAGACAACTGCTTCAAAGGCTCTTCCTCCCTGCCTTTGTGCATGTGTCTTGAGACTTGTATATTGCAAGCTTCACTGAATTAGCATTAAAATTGCTCAAGTGTTTCTTATCAAAGTAAATAATGAGTATGGGGAAATGACCACTTAACTAATATCCAGATTAACCTTTAGCTTGCATGCTTTACCACTTGAATGTCATTATATTTAAAAATTGATTCTTCAGCTCCACAATACACTTGCTCTCAGTTCAAAGATACCACACATCTCCAGTGACTTGAATTCACATATGCTATCTTAATTCTGATCATTTCCACATACTGGATTTAACAGGCTATGTGTGTATCTGATGAGACACCATAGATATGAAATTCATTTTATTTGAGAACCAGCATTCAAAGTAGTGTGGGGTACTAAAATTGATCCTTAAAACTATCCTTTTTTCCACCACCCTATTTTTTTGTGGTTTTTCTAAATAGGTACTATATCTTTTAAGATGTTTTTTCTTCTCTGGGTAAAAAATCTATACAAAAAAGGAAAATGATGGAGTGAAGAGAAACTGAATCCCTATCCCTTTGTGCATGTTACATGTACAAAATAAGATGAAGAAATATTGTTTCCACTCTAATCTTTCAGCTGTAGATCTTGGGTGTTACTCATGGCAATAGTAGCTTAACATTCAGGGAGGTGTGATTTGATAATGTGCCTTGATACAATATAAATTTTATGCCCTGCAAACCTAATTTATTTGGACCCATAAGTTCCATTTTGGTGGAGATTTAACTGTGAAAGCTTGTCTGACCTAGCAACCCTTGATTACTAGAGCATGGTTTCTAATATTGTAAAGGTTTGATTTGAAACAGCTGAAGGTTGCACCCAGTCAAGCACTTGCTGGCAGTAAAAGTATATCTTATTTGTTGTGCAGTGTCAGGGAGCTGGTGTAGTGTCGTCAGAGTGGTGGTGAAGTGGATTTCTGTAAGGAGAGAAAACTAACTCATAGCTAGACAGCAGCACGAAACTCACAGGTTCAGAGATTAAGAGCCGAAGGGACCACTTTGATCATCTCATCCAGATGTGTCCAACCCCTGGCCCACTGTGGAGCAGTGTCATCCAGCCTACTGGGCTCCCCAGAGTCCCAAAGCTTTGTTGACTGGGGAGCAGTGGCAACAGTAATTGTTGCTCCCCTGCTTCCAGACCTATGGAGAGCCCAGGGGGTCAGATGCTATGACTCTGCATGCATGATTGGGCACCCGGAGTTGGGGCAGCATGGGGCATGGATTGGACCAGCATCATTCATCCAGCTCCTGGGGCCAAAGGTTTGAGCAGCACTGATCTAGGCTAACACCTTGCGTAGCATAGGCCATAAGACTCCCCTGAATTAAAGCCTGTTTCAGGTCTAGTTGTTGTTGTTCAAATACCTCCTATTTTTATACAAAAATATTTCATTTTGGTTTTAAAATCTCTAGCAGTGGACCTTATGCTTACCAATTTTTGCCTTTATTTTTAGCCTGAATCTGTCAGGTTTCCACTTTGAGTCACTGGGTCTTGTTATGCATGACTTTGCTAGATGGAAGCACCCCTCTATCAGATTTATTCTTCCCCATGTTCTAGACCAGGGCCAGCCAACCTGCAGCATGGTTACCACAAGTGGCATGGGAAGTCTCTGTATACAGAACCAGCAGATTGGAACAGGCAACACAGTGGCAGATAGGGCAGGGAGCAGAAAGCGGGGCAGGGGATCAGGCAGGGGGGAAAAGGGGGGGCAGCAGAGAGCATCGGACAGAGGGTGCCAAACTTTTTCTTATTGTGTACCCCCTTCCAGATTTACCAGCTGCCTGCTTACCTCTACCAGCATAGGTTTTATATTTTAAACCCTTAAATCCCAGTTATTTTTATAATGACAATTAAATCTGCCATTGCACACTTTCTCCCGCGTGCCCCCCAGAGATGTCTTGCGTATCTCTGGGGGTACGCGTACCACAGTTTGGGAACCTCTGGGGTAAGAGGAAAGGATCGGAGTGGTCCTTGGGGTGTGTGCATGTGCAGTGTTGATTTGTGTCACACTTACCAAAAAGGTTGACCATCACTGTCAAATTGCCTCTTAACCTTATTTTTTGACAAATCAAACAGATTAGGTTCCTTGAGTCTTTCATTATAAGATGCTGCATTAAAAGGCAAGTTTGCTAATCCTCTAATCATTCTTTCATAGCTCCTTTTATGACTCTTTTGAATGTTTAACATCCCTTTCAAATTATGGACATGAAAACTGGGCACAGTATTTGAACGGTGGTTGCACAGGTCCAAGAGGCAGAGATTATATAACCTGTCTTCTGCACCTGTTCTCACCTGGCCATACAAGCCCCTTTGGCCACAGCATTGCATTGTGAGATCTCATATCCAGCTGATTATCCACCATAATCCCCTGATCTTTTTCTGAGTCACTACTTGCCTCAATAGACTCCTCAGTCTTGTAAATATGGCCTGCATTCCTTGTCCCTAGGTATGGCATTACATGTAATCATATGGACATGTATACTGATTGCAGGCAGCTTACCAAAATATCCAGATCACTCTATTGGTGACCTGTTGTCTTCATTATCTACCATTCCCTGAATTTCAGTATCATCTGGAAACATATCAGCATGGTTTTGTTTGTTTTTCTTCCAGGTCACTGATATTTGTTAAATAAATTGTTAAACCACCAAATCTCTAAAAGATTAAAAAAGGAATACATTTGTATAGTGATGATTCCTCTTCTAGTTAGACCTATTTTGAGACCTATTAGTTGAGCTTTTTAAATATATCTGAATATGAGCCATGTTGTTTTTGTATGGTCTCATTTGTTAATCACAGTTGTTAAGTCCAGGTCAAACACCTTCCAGAAGTCTATTAGACACTATTCCCTGGACCAAAAGATTTTATAATCCCACAAAAAGTTAAATTAGTCAGACAACCTACATTTTCCATTCATCAATCTTGTCTTAACTCTATGACTGACCCCCTTTTAATTATTTATGAATCAAGTTCCACATTAGCTGTTCCATTATTCTTCCTTGGATTGCTCACAAGCCTATAATTATTCAGATCATCCCAATGCTCTTTCAAAGTATTGGCGCATTAGCTTCCTTCCAGTCCCCTGGAATTTCCCCATTGTCTTAAGACTTAATGAAAATCAGTATTAACAGTCCGGATTGCTCCTTGACCAGAACTTTTATCATTCTTAGTTGTCAGTTATCCACATCTTACTTAGTGCTCTCTAACTTAAGTATATGCTATTATCCTGAATTACTGTTAGGATGGAAAGCATTTTATCATTATGGTATAAATAAGTCATCTGGCTTTTTTCCAGCAACTAAAGGCCAGTATTAATTAAACACTTATTGTCTAGCAATAGAATAGTGCCTTTTTAAAATTTCTGCTGTTCCTCATCATCTGAACATGTCTCCCACAAGGTCAATCTACTTTTTAAGTTCTCATGCTTCACAATATACTGTCCATCACCATCCCTTCAGAGACGCTGTGCGCTTTGAAGTTCTGTTCTGTGCGCTCACATCATGTCTTCTTGGGTCTTTCTTTTTTTCTTTCTCCTGCCTCCAGATCTTGTGGCCTGCATTTTTTCCCCAAATACTTTTCAGGCCTTCTGACTACATACACTCTCACAGTTTGCCCTTGCTGAGCTTTCTCTCTATTGTTATAGTCTTTCCTGATGCTGCCTCTGATTTCTGTAATGATTTTTCACTTTGACTCCACGTATCTGTCTCAGTAGCCTCACCCTCAGCATGTGAGAAGCAAGGATTTTTTTGGTAATATCTTTTATTGGACCAACTGAGTAGCTGGGAGAGAGGTTAGACAAGCTTTCAGGCACAACGTGCTCTTCCTCAGGTTTGGAAGGAAAAACTTGTCTATCATTTCTCCCAACTGCTCAGTCTAATAAAAAGATGTGACCAAAAAACCTCTTGTCTTTTGCATGTGTCGTGTGCGCTCCCCACCCCTGACACCCCAGCTGATGATGCCTTTTGTTGATCTGTACCCCAATCTAAGTTGCGCTGTACCCGTTCTCTGCTTTCTGAAATCAAGACCACGTCATCAGGAACCCCAAGGGGCATCCTCCTGCTTGTTGCTGAGTAAATCCAGGAGTAGCACAAATAGCAGTGGTCTTAATTCTGACCCTCGATGGAATCCAGACCTGATGAGGGCATCCTAGGTCTTCCCACATATGCTTCCAACTCATGTTTTTGAGCATCTATATATACTTACCACAAGTCTCTCTTAAATTCCCATTACCAGTTGTTCCCTCATGTACCACCATATCAGTTTTCTTGGTCATGAGCCTTTTTCCATGTCAAGAAACACCATGTGAAGATTTTTCTTGGTGTCCTTATACTCTTACTTTTCTATTAGGAGTCTCACTGGAAAGATCACATCAATCATTGATTTACCTGGCGTAACTGTGAATTGGCAGTCTCCAGTTTTGACTTTTTAATCTTTCTTTGATTCTTTCCCATAGGTTTGTGGTGTGGTTCATGAGTATTATGCCTCTAATTGCCAAAGTCTTGTATGTCTCCTTTTGTTCTT